GTGGAGTCGTGGAGAAAGGATGAACAGATTGCAGAGAAAAGAGTGGAATAACGGCGTGCTACTGAATTCCTATGTTCAACTAGGAACCCAAGAGGAAAATAATAATAATAATAATAATGATAATAATTTCAGTAAGTGATTTATCGGGTACTATAGCTCTACTTGGTTATCAGGGTATCATATTGGTATATAAAGCTAACTTGATTAACTATGCTGTATGTTTTATTTACAGATAATGTTCAATGAACAAATCAAGGGATAATTGAATTCATAATTGTAGCAATGCTCAGCATACATTTGTGTTATCCATTCAATCGAATACTATATGAAAGAAACATTGATTACACTTTATACTATACTATTTTAACACGTATTTTTCAAGGTTTTATCATTCTGTTTATTTTCTTCAATATTATATACTTTATAATAATTTTTATCAATGGTATATATTATATGATATGTAATGATAAAGTTATTGTATATACCGAGAAGCATAACAGTGTATACCCTGTTGATAATAGTATGAATCATACTGGATATTATGAATACTTACTTACACCGAATACAACATATATTCATACAATCCTTTCACCAAAAAACCAATGTAATTCATTATCATATAATAATGAAACAAATATTCTACTATTTATTAAATCAACAATTGATCAGTTTGAATTACGCCAATCATTACGTAATACATGGGCTAATTATAAATGTTATATAAAATATGGTATTAGAGCATATATTTACTTTACTCTTGGTAGACAGAATATATCAGCATGGAATACATCATCATTAATACAATCTAGAATATTTTATGAACATAAAATATATCAAGATATTCTACAATTTGATTTTATTGAAAGTTATTATAATGTAACACGAAAATTGATTGGAACCATTGAATACGCTACTTTACATTGTTTTAATGCAAAGTTTATTTTATTAATTGATCAAGATTTTATTGTTAATCCAATGAATTTAGCAAAATATCTTTCAAATATTAATACTATTGAATATACTAGATATGTTGGAGGTTATATAATTCAACATGCTGTACCATTTCGAAATGAAAATAGTAAATGGTTTATTTCGAATAGAAATTTCCCATTCAATTCATATCCAAGTTATCCTATTGGTGGAACAATAATTTTTAGTCGACCAGTTGTTATTACCTTGAATAAGATATTACGTCATATGAAATTATTCCCCTTTGATGATGTATTAATTGGTATTATTTTAGAAAAACTTCAAATTCCAATTGTTCATATAAAAATATTTTCTTTGAAAAATATATTTCAAATGTTAGACAACAGTTTATTACTTTACACACTTATGATAATGCGAATATTCTGTTTAATATATGGAAATCTTTACGATTCTATGATATGTGTATATAATATAAGATGAAAAATGCTTCAACTAACACTAATCAATCCGTTTCGTTTGTTTTCTTTTTCTAAAATAATATTCATGTTACTGTAATTATCAATGATAAGTCGGTGATTGGCGAAAGTAATACGGGACTCATGTTTTATTCTATTTGAGATTTGTTTATCACCTGGATGTACCTGCATCTCAGTGAATGATGTTATTCCCATTCTTCCTTTCAAACTCCAAAGGGATATATATTCATTAAGCCACTGGAGTATGATAGCCACATCTTGTACAATAGGTGTCAATTGTTGTAATGATACTTGTAATTTTCAGTTACTCTACACGGCCGAATTTCTCGACTTCAGTTGGCAGGTGGGCTCCTATGTGTATGCCACGATATTGCCAGTTATTCCTGTTATCCTTTCAGTCGTGGATTGGGCATTAGCTGACTATTGAGTGATAAATAAAGCCGAACCTAAATATACTTTATACTAAATATATATACCTAAATATATCGGACTTAAGTAGAGTGGCTTTATTCCACCCTCTTGTGTTTGATGAGATCATACTAGGCGTACAGTTGTGCCTCACCTCCACAGCCTTCAAGTTTCAGGACAAAATATACAGACAAACAGAAACAGTAGCAATGGGATCACCAATATCCCTAATCGTAGCAGATATATTTATGGATAGTTAGGAAAGCATGGCTTTACAAAAGTTTAGTCCTCCACCTAAGATATGCTGGCGATATATGGATGACACGTTTACTGTGTTGAAATAGGAACATATCGACAATTTCCTAATACATATAAACTCAGTAGTGGACGCAATCCAATTCACTCACGAGAAGGTAGAAAGTGAACCAGAAGAATTACAGGATAAAAAGGAAGGACAGACGGTAGCTTGGATACTACTGTCTACAGAAGACCAACACATTCCAACAGGTATCTAGACTTCAAATCATCCCATCAGATGTCAGCTAAGGCAGGTTTAGTCAAATGTTCAAGTGATAGAGCTAGAAAACTGACTAGTCACAGAAACAACCTAAACAATGAATTGAAGCACATAAAAGAAGCACTAATAGTTAATAATTATCTTCCACAGTTTATCACGAAATTCCTACATATTCACAAGAAACGAAAAAATAACAGTCACACGGGTTCGACTAATAAGGACAACACGAGTGGAAATGAGTTCACAGCCTCCATTGTGTTACCGTAGAAGGTGTGTACATCAGAAACTTTACATAAGATCCTCAACAGAGCTGGAATTAGAGGGGCATTTAAACCTACAAACTCACTCCGAGATAAACTCTGTCAGCTGGTTTAAAGATCAGATAGAACCAATTAAGCAAAATAATATAATCTATCAAATGCGATGTAATGACTATGAGGTCAAGTGCATAGGTCAAACTAGCCCGGTTGGTCGGGGTCAGTTAGAATAGCCGAACATAGGAATTTATCTAAATATAGAATAACAGACCCAAATAAGATCAATAATGTAGAAAAACAGTCGGCTGTCGCTATGCATGCATTAACACACAACCACACAATAGGGTTAAATAAAGCCACTCTACTTAAGTCCAATACATTTAGGTAAAGAGAGAGAGAGATTGATTACTGAATTTTTGTTCATCGAATCAACACGCAACACATGTGATAGAAATGACACAACACTTACATCAGAGATATGGAAAGTTCTACTACCGATAAAGACAACTCATATGAGGTGATGTAACTATAAAAATCGAATGTCGAAAGTGGTGTGATTACAATCATATGATGATGAGTAATGATAATTTCTGTTCTAAACATCATCAAGTAAATAATACTGTATCACGTGGTGTGTTATAAATCAAATAAATCAGTGTAATATTTTGAGGGAGTTGTGGAGATTTGAAAATATTTCAAGTTGTTATTCATCGTAGACTGACATCATTTGGAGGAACAAAGGAAACTTGGGATCACTGGACAGCTGTTTCGTCCTAGTATGGAACTCCTTAGCAGTGCGCACTAACGACGTATTGGCCACGGAACCTGAAGTTCACGGGTTCGATCCCTGGCTGAGTCGTTGGTGTGCACTGCTGAGGAGTCCCATACTAGTCGGACGAAACAGCTGTCCAGTGCTCTCAGGTTTCCTTTGTTCCTTCAACTGATGTCAGTCTACAATGAAAAACAACTTGAAATATTTTCAAATCTCCACAACTCCCTCAAAATATTACACTGATTTATTTGATTTATAACACACCACGTGATACAGTATTATTTACTTGATGATGTTTAGAACAGAAATTATCATTACTCATCATCATATGATTGTAATCACACCACTTTCGACATTCGATTTTTATAGTTACATCACCTCATATGAGTTGTCTTTATCGGTAGTAGAACTTTCCATATCTCTGATGTAAGTGTTGTGTCATTTCTATCACATGTGTTGCGTGTTGATTCGATGAACAAAAATTCAGTAATCAATCTCTCTCTCTCTTTACCTAAATGTATTGGACTTAAGTAGAGTGGCTTTATTTAACCCTATTGTGTGGTGTGTGTGTTAATGCATGCATAGCGACAGCCGACTGTTTTTCTACATTATTGATCTTATTTGGGTCTGTTATTCAATATATTTAGATAAATTCCTATGTTCGGCTATTCTAACTGACCCCGACCAACCGGGCTAGTTTGACCTATGCACTTGACCTCATAGTTATTACATCGCATTTGATAGATTATATTATTTTGCTTAATTGGTTCTATCTGATCTTTAAACCAGCTGACAGAGTTTATCTCGGAGTGAGTTTGTAGGTTTAAATGCTCCTCCAATTCCAGCTCTGTTGAGGATCTTATGTACAGTTTCTGATGTACACACCTTCTACGGTAACACAATGGAGGCTGTGAACTCATTTCCACTCGTGTTGTCCTTATTAGTCGAACCCGTGTGACTGTTATTTTCTCGTTTCTTGTGAATATGTAGGAATTTCGTGATAAACTGTGGAAGATAATTATTAACTATTAGTGCTTCTTTTATGTGCTTCAATTCATTGTTTAGGTTGTTTCTGTGACTAGTCAGTTTTCTAGCTCTATCACTTGAACATTTGACTAAACCTGCCATAGCTGACATCTGATGGGATGATATGAAGTCTAGATACCTGTTGGAATGTGTTGGTCTTCTGTAGACAGTAGTATCCAAGCTACCGTCTATCCTTCCTTTTTATCCTGTAATTCTTCTGGTTCACTTTCTACCTTCTCGTAAGTGAATTGGATTGCGTCCACTACTGAGTTTATATGTATTAGGAAATTGTCGATATGTTCCTATTTCAACACAGTAAACGTGTCATCCATATATCGCCAGCATATCTTAGGTGGAGGACTAAACTTTTGTAAAGCCATGCTTTCCTAACTATCCATAAATATATCTGCTACGATTAGGGATATTGGTGATCCCATTGCTACTGTTTCTGTTTGTCTGTATATTTTGTCCTGAAACTTGAAGGCTGTGGAGGTGAGGCACAACTGTACGCCTAGTATAATCTCATCAAATACAAGAGGGTGGAATAAAGCCACTCTACTTAAGTCCGATATATTTAGGTATATATATTTAGTATAAAGTATATTTAGGTTCGGCTTTATTTATCACTCAATAGTCAGCCAATGCTCAATCCACGACTGAAAGGATAACAGGAATAACTGGCAATATCGTGGCATACACATAGAAGCCCACCTGCCAACTGAAGTCGAGAAATTCGGCCGTGTAGAGTAACTGAAAATTACAAGTATCATTACAACAATTGACACCTATTGTACAAGATGTGGCTATCATACTCCAGTGGCTTAATGAATATATATCCCTTTGGAGTTTGAAAGGAAGAATGGGAATAACATCATTCACTGAGATGCAGGTACATCCAGGTGATAAACAAATCTCAGATAGAATAAAACATGAGTCCCGTATTACTTTCGCCAATCACCGACTTATCATTGATAATTACAGTAACATGAATATTATTTTAGAAAAAGAAAACAAACGAAACGGATTGATTAGTGTTAGTTGAAGCATTTTTCATCTTATATTATATACACATATCATAGAATCGTAAAGATTTCCATATATTAAACAGAATATTCGCATTATCATAAGTGTGTAAAGTAATAAACTGTTGTCTAACATTTGAAATATATTTTTCAAAGAAAATATTTTTATATGAACAATTGGAATTTGAAGTTTTTCTAAAATAATACCAATTAATACATCATCAAAGGGGAATAATTTCATATGACGTAATATCTTATTCAAGGTAATAACAACTGGTCGACTAAAAATTATTGTTCCACCAATAGGATAACTTGGATATGAATTGAATGGGAAATTTCTATTCGAAATAAACCATTTACTATTTTCATTTCGAAATGGTACAGCATGTTGAATTATATAACCTCCAACATATCTAGTATATTCAATAGTATTAATATTTGAAAGATATTTTGCTAAATTCATTGGATTAACAATAAAATCTTGATCAATTAATAAAATAAACTTTGCATTAAAACAATGTAAAGTAGCGTATTCAATGGTTCCAATCAATTTTCGTGTTACATTATAATAACTTTCAATAAAATCAAATTGTAGAATATCTTGATATATTTTATGTTCATAAAATATTCTAGATTGTATTAATGATGATGTATTCCATGCTGATATATTCTGTCTACCAAGAGTAAAGTAAATATATGCTCTAATACCATATTTTATATAACATTTATAATTAGCCCATGTATTACGTAATGATTGGCGTAATTCAAACTGATCAATTGTTGATTTAATAAATAGTAGAATATTTGTTTCATTATTATATGATAATGAATTACATTGGTTTTTTGGTGAAAGGATTGTATGAATATATGTTGTATTCGGTGTAAGTAAGTATTCATAATATCCAGTATGATTCATACTATTATCAACAGGGTATACACTGTTATGCTTCTCGGTATATACAATAACTTTATCATTACATATCATATAATATATACCATTTATAAAAATTATTATAAAGTATATAATATTGAAGAAAATAAACAGAATGATAAAACCTTGAAAAATACGTGTTAAAATAGTATAGTATAAAGTGTAATCAATGTTTCTTTCATATAGTATTCGATTGAATGGATAACACAAATGTATGCTGAGCATTGCTACAATTATGAATTCAATTATCCCTTGATTTGTTCATTGAACATTATCTGTAAATAAAACATACAGCATAGTTAATCAAGTTAGCTTTGTATACCAATATGATACCCTGATAACCAAGTAGAGCTATAGTACCCGATAAATCACTTACTGTAATTATTATCATTATTATTATTATTATTATTTTCCTCTTGGGTTCCTAGTTGAACATAGGAATTCAGTAGCACGCCGTTATTCCTCTCTTTTCTCTGCAATCTGTTCATCCTTTCTCCACGACTCCACACAAGCTTTCATTTCTTCCTCACATCATCGCCTCCACGTCACCCTCACCTCGGACGTCCAACTCATCGTTTCCAATCCAATACATCTCCATGTTCTTCTTCCGCATATTTGTTGGGTGATGGGTTCTCGCCTCCTTGGTTTGTTGCTAAGCCAGCCAGCCAGCCAGAGTTCCTTCTTACTTATTCTTATTATCCTTTCCGGTCATCTGATCTCATCTTCAGTATCGAGTGAGCGTGGGTTGCAGCTGTTGATGAATGTCTGTAGTTTGTTGGAAGTGCTTTTCGTGACACACCAAGTTTCTGAACCATCACATAGAAGCAGTGACTTGACGTTGATGTTGAAAATCCGTTTCTTCTTCATGCTTTCTGCTGAATGCAGTGGAGTGCAGTAGATCTCCACACTAATATCAGATTAATGAAAGCCAGTCCTGCTTTGCGGATCCTCGCTTACTTTAAATGTATCGTAAATTATCCCCTAATGCCATAAAAGACACTTCCGAAAATAGAATGCAGATCACTATCAAAAAAATAGTTTATATTCATCTGTCAAACGTTAACAACAGAAAATTTGTCACTTCTTACTGCTATCAGTCTCATCTTGAAACAGTAAGGTGGTCTTATTGCCAAATGATCTCTAGTACTTCATCAGCACACAGGACTGAACAGAATGAAACTGGCATCTCTTAAATGATAAATCAATACATCTAATCCATCCCAAACCGGAGGTCGATCACCGTGAGTGGGTTCACATGTCGGGAGAATTTTTGTGACACCTACAATATGCAGATGGCATAGTCCTGTTAGGTGAAGACACTGACAAGATCGAGAGTCTTCTGGACACTTTGACCACTGATTTGAGAATGTTTGAGATGCGTATATCACCACTCAAATGTAAATTGTTACTCCAGGATTCATCTTCACCGGTTCCACGGCTAACAATAGAGAGTGTAATGGTTGAGTGTGTTGACCACTTCACTTACCTGGTAAGTAGGATCAGCCGTGGTGGCTCACTGACCGATGGAATCTCTACACCAATATAAAAGCATGACTGGCTTTTGTCAACTAACACCACATATGGCGCTGCCGTGATATCTGACTGCCTGTTATGGGTTGCGTGCACTGCACCTGCACCTGCACAGCAGTCCGCTCTGTTCCACTGTATGGCTGTGAAACATGGCCATTGAAGGTGGAAGACATGAGAAGGCTTCAAGTGTTTGACCACCGTTGCCTTCGTAGTATACGCCGTATTCCATGGTGTCACCACATGAGTAATGCAGAAGTGAGGTGTAGAGTTTTAGGGAGTAGAGGTGAATCAGTTGACGAAGTTGTGAACCTCCATCGACTGAGGTGGTTGGGACATGTGTTACTTATGCCTAGTAGCTGATTGCCTCGTCACACAATGTTGGCTGAGGTGGGTGCAGGCTGGAAAAAGGGCCGAGATGGCCAGACTAAAACATGGCATCAATGTGTGAAGTGTTTGACAGTTGGTTTGAAACATGTGGGGCGACGGAGACTGGGTGGTTGGGATTGGCGGACAAGAGGAACCAGTGGTTGGAAACCCTAGGTGATCACATGGTTCAGAACCGATGTCAGTGGCGCATATGCATACCGACACACATCATCCTCATCTTAACGACGCTATGCCGAACCTCACCATTTTCTCATTCTTCCTTTCTCTCTTTTCCTACTTCATATTTCTTTTGACTAAGTTTCCTTATCTTCATCTTTCACTCACTGCCTTTCTACTTGATGTACTGATATGAGGTGTGGCAACTCGGATCGTTACGCAGTAATGCCTGTTCCTATGTTGATATTGATGATGATGATCACATGTCAGAGAGGATATCAGTTCCTTGGGGTGACAAGTGACAAAAGCAAGAAACCTTGGTAAAGCAAGGCTATCTGTCTCATCAAAATTCACCGTGATGGAGTGTCTCCTAGCTTGGTGATCACATTTTGAAATGATTAAAAGAAATCAGTCAGTACTCAGGACTATACAGCATGAATTCGGTATTTCTCCAGTGATCAATCAATGTTTGGTCAAAATTTCTACATACGGTGAAGGAATGATGTGGAGAGTAGTAGAGTAGTGGTAGAAAGGTCTTATTTTTAAGACTGCTCAATAAGACCATGAAAGTAAACAAGATGAACCATTTCTAACTATCAAACAACAGCGAATTATACTTGATGGCCCTTTTACTCCCGTGGTCTGGTGGATAATTCAATGGCGTTTGAAACGATGGGTACAAGGTTCGATTCTCCAATTGGAAAAACACCGCTCACTGAGGTGAAAAAAACACATTTAGCTGATTAGTCCGTGATAGTACAAAATGAATGTCCCGGATTCCACTACGAGTCACCAAGATGGACACAACATCATGAATATCCGGGAGTATCGAGGCGTCCTCATAGGAGCCCGTCTACCAACAGTGATTTAGCAGTTCGGCCCTGTATAGCAATGTGAAATTACTAGTATCAAACAACAATGAACCGTTCTGTATTACATACAAAGCTCAGTTCTACACATGAACGGCATTAGATTTTCAACGCAGATAATATAAAGATTTACACCTCAGAATGTAGCCCGTTTCGAGATACAATGACGCGTGTTGGTGACATGATCAATTTAAGCACTACTTACCGATGATTTCAGTTGTTCAGGAGAGACGTGTGGAACCCGTTCAGAGTGAAGTAACATGGCACAGGTTGTATATCTGGTTCAATAGGAGGAGATGGACGGGCGGGCGGGCGTCAGTGGAAGTAGTCAGATGAGATAGATAGTTGGTCATTTGATTCATTTGATAGAACTGGTATACAGGAGAATACTGATATCAGTATTGTTGCAAGAGATTTCTGATAGGAAATCAATATTCGAAGTCATCAGCTGCTAACGTAGATGTCTTGCATTTCAATTCTTGTCTCATGTGTGGTTAGTTGAAATATCATTGGATAATTTATCCAATAACTTACCCATCAAAGTTAGCTATTTGACATTTGACATAGTTGTTTGATGGCAAGGAAGTATCCTGGGGGTTGGGTGGAGTCTCTTTTCATCAGTTCTCGTCTCTGAATGTAGTGTTCTTACCTACTGAAATTGTGTTGTCATTTACGTTGTTTCACAGTCGTCAAAGTATCATTGTGGTGTGGTACAAATTAAACAGGCTGTTTTTCCTATAATCGTCTGAAGTGAATGATAGTTCTTGTATAAACTTGAGAAGTGTTATTTGGTTTACCTCATTTTGTGAAGTATTTAGTCGTATTTAAATGTAAATTTTTGTAACTGCATATAATGAAAACTATTGATTACATACGTTTTGGTATCCTGATGATCAGCTGAAGTTGACAATGAAGAACAGAACGATTCGAGATGCTATTCAAAACCCCTTCAGTCCCAAAGAACATACTATTCATAAATGTTGGATTCATGGGAGGAACATTGTCAGAGATGCTGAATGATCGATTGTCCAAGGAACTGAAGAAGACCTTCTTCTTTTCCGCCTAACTTCGGATTGTTTTCTTTAGTCGACAATTAATTCATGGGTGTGTAGGAGATAAACTACCACCTTCGGCAACCCCATGTGTATTTACTAATTCATCTGCTATTGTAGAGGTGGTTTAAATAAGCCGCACAAACCTTGTATCCTCTCACTGCATCTCTGAACACTATCCTGCATGGCTGATGGAAAGTGAGCGTTAAGTGATTGTTAGCGACAGCTGCTGATGAATGTCTGTAGTTTGTTGGAAATGCTTTTCGTGACGCTCCAAGTTTCTGAACCCTCTCATAGGAGCACTGACTTGATGTTAGTGTCGAGAATCCAGATGTTGTTCACGCTCTATGCTGAGTGCAAAAGATCTCTGCAGTCATTATTTCAGACTGATGCAGGAAGGCCTGTCTTACTTTCTTTCCGATCCCAGATTTGACATCCTCATCTATGCATGTGTCGCCGCCTGTAATTGAAACGACGCTGACTAGGTGGGAAGGTAGGTAGGTAGGTGTGGGGTGGTAGGTAGGTAGGTAGGTAAGTAGGTAGCTGAAAGAGACTGCTTCCTTTAGATTTATTCCGTCAATGGTGATTGGTGCTTGTTGTTGTTGTTGGTTGGTTATCTTCATCACCTCTGTCTTCTCTACGTTCACCTGGACGAAGTCCCATCTTCTTTCACTGACCTGAATCGCCTCTTCTGCCAACTTGTTAGTTTATGCCATTTTAGTCTGTTTATTAGAAATATCACACAGTGAAACAGTAGCATTTACTGGATAACGTTTCGGACACAATTTGTTGTCCATATTCAACAACAAACACATGCAATCGAAATGATGTTGCATCTGTCCCAGATATATGGAAAATTCTACTACCCTTGTCATCACAGAGAAGGAGAGAAAACTAGGAATATATAAAGCCTGTCTCGAAGTTGTGGAGTTACCTGATATGAATATAGACACTTAATTGTATCCGAAACGTTATCCAGTAAATGCTACTGTTTCACTGTGTGATATTTCTTATACACAGACTAAGATGGACTTACACTCGACCACAGTGCTCAAGTTTCACACTTGTATTGTAAGTTTATGCATGTAGATCTTCGAGTTTATGCTACAAGACATTAGACATAAATCATCATCAGTGGCGAAATATAAATCTTCTTGGCTCTTCTCATCGGTCAAACAGCGTATGCCCCTCTTCTCAATCCTCACGGTTGGCTGCATAATCCAGTCCAGTCAAGTCGACCACAATCAGGAAGATCATCGGCGATAGTAGGCGGTAACTTTGTCTTACTCCTTCCTGTCTTCACTTCAAAGCAATCACTGAGCTCTCCATTGTCAATCACTCGGCATGTAGCACCATCATATAGTACATACCTGTTGAATGAGGTTGATATAGGTTTGTGGCACTGAAACTGTAGTGTTGAAGCAGCTACCTGACAAATTACTTCTCGGTCCACACTACTGAAGACCTCTTCAAGGTCGATGAAGTTGAGGTTGAGTTGAGTTGAATATCATTCAATGCTCTGTTCTATGATGATGTGTAGCGTGGCGCTGCAATTTGATCCACACATGATTTGTTCTTCCTGAAGCCAGCCAGCCAGCCAGCCAGCGTGTTGCAGTCGTACTCCAGTTGAATCAAGAGAATTTTCATTCCAATCTCTCCAGGATGATACGGCCTGATAGTTTGTTTGCTTCGGGTAGATAGGAGCATGATTCCCTGCAAGTTCTTGCAGAGACTTTGGTCTCCCTTCTTTGGGAGTTTGACAAGGTGCATTTTCTTCCGATCTACTGGCAGGTACCTTCCTTTCCTTGCTTCCTTCCTTCCTTGAAAACCTTCTGCAATAGTGGTCGTGCTGCTTGCCCAGATTTTAGCAACTTCATGGCATGGCGTTCACAACTACACTTCTGCTGTTGTCGGAGAGCTCGAGTTCACTGGTAATTCAATTCTGTGACTGGGCTGCTGGTGGTATTTTAGGACGAGTTGCAGCTGGTGGTGGTGGTGGTCAATTCAAGAGTTTTTCGAAGTAGTTGGCTCATTGTTTCCTTTGTTCCTCCTCTTTGATAACTAGGTTTCCTTCACTATCACTACCTTTATTGGTTTCATCTATGTTGATCTCTTCTCTACCAGATAGTAACCTGATTATTTGATATAATGTTGTCAGATCTCTATCTCTCCTACCTGCAGCCTGTTCTGCTTCACTTGGAAGTGTGTAGTGGAAGTGTCTTTTGTCTTTGTGCTCACTCTTCTCCACTTCTTTGTCCAGTGTTGTGTTTTATAGGTTGTGTTCATTTCCTCTTTTCAGTTAACACAGCCAAATTAGTTCAGATCATGTAAATCTGCTTCAATAGCTTGTTTGGTCTGATTTTCTGATCACTCTGATCTAACCAGTGAAATCTATAGGTCAATCTGAGTGGTTAACAACTACTCAAGTTATTCTGAAGTATAAAGCTTCCTTCCCTTACTGATTTTTCAAAAACCTGTCTCTCCAGCCAGAATCATTCATTCTTTTGTAATCAGTGTTTGTAATAGGGAATATAACAAACAGTAAAGCAATGCTCCATATCTGAGGTATTTTACTCTCTCTGTCTCTGTTCTGTCAATCAGACTTGTATAATCCCATCGTTACTTCCTTGAATAAAATATTCCCTACAAACGTTTTGCAAATAAAGTATAACACAGTTGATCTAAGTATCCTTGTAGGGTATTTTAGATAAACTTTCATTCCCATGGTTGGGAACAGTTCACCAGGATCTGTAATTAGTCTCAGTCAGTCTTATGAATATTTCGGAAGACTGAGAAACTTACATTCCAAGTGTTTATTCAGGCATTTATATATTCATTCACCTATTCCTGAAGTTGGTTTAAATGGGCACCATGTTCATCCTGTGCTAACACAAGGCCATTTACAGTAATTCAGTCATAACACCGGTTAGTACAGACTGACACCAGTTGGAGAATCATTGAAAAGCCGAGGACACCGAAGAGCTCCACCGTAAGACTCCTTAGTGGTAGGCACCCATGAAATTCAGACCTAGGGGTGAAGGCATTTACCTTTCAGCCACAGTTTTATACTACTGTCAGTCTACTACGTAGCACGATCATCCACCAAGCTCTAAGGTTGACATTCATTCCACTTCCGATTAGTTGACTATACAGGTCATGGCTTCTAATTTAGAACTTCGAGATATCCATCTTGAAACGAGTATAGAGTAAGGTAGTTTGAGTTCTCATATTATGAGGAAACAACTGTTCACTGCTTCTTTGTCGGATGTCAGTAAGTGAAAAATACTGTCTGGAAATAAATAAAATCCTCATAAACTTCAAAGTACTATATATATACATCAAAGATATTCTAAGTACTTACTCCTCTTTTAGATTGTACGTACTGGTCACCAAACGCTTGAATCAAATAAATCTATTCGAAAAATGAATAAATTTTAATTGGTTTGCCATACACTGATCATATCTCACGTGAATAGTTCGACATTTTACAGTAAAGTTTATAAAAGGATTGTAATTGTTAACATTTGATGTAGCGTAAAGAGTTTTGCATAGTGAAATGCCTGATTACTTATAGGTGACCTTATTATCATTATCCTTATCACTACTGTTAACAAGCAATACATTTTACATTATACTCTTTAATCAATCAAATCTGTCTTATGCTAATATGACAATACAATCTCCTAGCATTCATGTATTCAAAGTCAAAACTGACTTTTGTTTGACTAACTTGAGAAACCGTTGTGATTGGTCAGTTGTTTCACAATTAAGGTCATTGTCTTTATTTTTAATATAATGGTGTATCGATTGATATAGTTATGATCCTAACATGATTTGTTCATTAGCTTGTCAAAAATCTGGATTAATATAGTTGAGAAACAAGAAAATATAATAATTGTACTTCTATTGTTTCATAAGGAAGAAAAAGCTTCAAAAATTATTAGTCACTTTTCTATGCTGTGAGTATTTCGATTCGAAATTCTTGAAAGTAACAAGTTTACTTGATATTCAGTTATTGTTGTATTTTGAGGTTAATGAGCATTTTACCCTTAAGGTAATATACGTCACGGACTAACTATAGCTGGAGAACCATGAAAGACGCTAGAGCACTAGATAGATGTTTCGTCGCATGATAGGACTCCTCAGAAGTACGTACGCCTGCGTACTGCTCAACTTTTATCATAATCTGTAGTCCTTAATAAATGTTATGCCAATCTTTTCTTGTGGAACTTTAAAAATTTATAATACTTCAAAGCGTATGAATAGTTTTGCTTACATGTAATCAATCTTTTGACTGGAACTGTATTGAATAAAGGAAACGATGGTTGGTGAAACCGTCATCGAAAAGAACAAGACGCCAATAACCTCCTGCGACAGGCTGCTAAAACGTTGTCCAGAAAACTCTGAAGACAGTTCAACTGAACCTTAGTAACTCTTCTGTTACTTAACATCCAACCTGGACCTGAATGGTACGTAGATTTTAGTTCTCCAACTCTCCTGAAAGTAAGAAACCTGAATCAAACCCAAAACGATGCAATACAGCAGGACCTAATAATTTAACGTCCGAAGTATTTTGGAATGGTGGTAAGTAATCTCTAGTTAAACGACGGAGCTACTAGGTAGTGTATGGGAATCCGAGGTAGTGCTACCTCACTGGACTACTTATCTTATCAATCCAGTCTGCAAGGAGGGAAAGAGGTCTCCTTGCTAGAACCATAAGGGAATTCAGTTTGGCTATTATTGTGTCCAGTATCCTGTAGTCCGTAGTTATTCGACGCCTAACTGAAGCTCTGGAACAGCAAACTTGCGAAAACCAGGTAGGTTTCATTCAAACCTGGGCTAGGCTGCATTGATCATATTTCCACTCTTCAACAGCTTCTGGAACAAAGGCATACCTGCCGGTGACCAACATTTGGCACATTTACTGACCTTGTGGCGTCATTCAACTCTGCCGACCTTGAGAATTTGTGGCAGTGTCTGACTGTGAAGGGATTATCAAGAGACTATATAATGCTCATCAAAATCCATAATTTAACTCATTCATCCATGTATGGTCTTACAGAGAGTTGTCATGTGAGTTGACGACAGCTAGTAGTGTCAATCAGGGATATTCACTGTCATTGTTCCTATTTAACTTCGTTATAGATCTACTGATGGATATAACCCTAGGTACTTCGGACTTCACATGGACTGATCTATTCCCTGGAGATCATCTGGTTTTCTTGTAGTATAAAGACGATATTGTTTTGCTAGGTGAAGACACTGATGCAATGCAGGATGTCCTGAACACGTTAAGCGGAAATCTGATTGTGTTTCAAATGCATCTCACACATGTTAATCGTAATATTATGTTCCAGAACAGGTGTACAACTAGTCTTACTTTAATGATACGATGTGAAGTGGTGAAATGCATCAAGAAATTTACCTCATAAACTTGAGGAGTTGCATCAGTCCAAAAGGTTTGGTTGCTGACCAAAATCTCAGGTCAGATAGAGAATACCCGTTCGGCATTCTTCAAATTGCATCAACTGTGACCCTCACTGGCACGATATCCAACTGTCGACTTAAGGCTGTTAGAAGATGACAGGAAGTGGTTGCAGGGTGTGTTGATCATAAGTATCTCCGTGAAATTGTTCGCGTTTGATAAAATCACCGTGTAAAGAATATTGAGGTCAAGTGAAGGTTACTAGGCAAAACAGGCAAAATTCGACTGACGAGGTTGTCAACCTTAGTCGACTGAGATAGCATGGACATGCACTGTGCATGCGCAGACATCCCCTAGCTTGGAAGACGGTTCACGGTGCCCGAACAAAGACGTGACACTAGTTGATGAAGCCTCTGACTGTTAGTCTTAGCTATATATATATATGAAGGTGTAGATTGCCTGGTTGGGGTTTTTGAAATTATAGAGACCAGTGACTGAGGACTCATGGTACCATAACTGAAAATCGGTCACTATGGAGCAGACGTATTCACTCCTCAACATATTCTTAAGCTTGAATACTCGCATTAACTTTCATCTTCAAGTTGTTTATTCTCTCACGTAACGTTGTCTACTCTGATACCTATTTGTCCACCTTTTGTTAGTATGCTGCTGTGAAGTTTGACAACCTCAGCCGATCCATTAGTGTGCAAGGTTCTACCTTGATTTTGTCTACACATCATTCTCAAAGAATTATACAACTTTTCATCCAACTAGAAATCGTTTAGTTGCTTTTGCTAATAGTATTGGTGAGCAGTGTCTAGCAGTGGAATCCAGGATGCGCATTTCGTCCTATTTGGGACTCACCAGTCAGCTGGATGTACCTGCTGGCTCCCAGTGAGTGATGTTGTTCCCACCGCAACTTGGACTCGGGAGCGATCGCTGCAAACGCGAGAGCGTTATCCACTACACCACCGACCCACGATAGCCATCTCTTGTGCAACGGGTATAGGTTTAGTGTTACTGCTTGTATTACACCGTCGTTGATTGGACCGAATTGATCAGTATCTGTTGGCATATGAGCTCCTGTTCAGATGCCTTGATATTGCCTGTCTTTTTAACTATGTAGTGAGTGCATACTAAGGTCATACTAAGGTCTATCCTAACTTTGTAAAGTGGCCAGCAAGTATTAGGATATGTTTTATATATGAGGTAGGTAAACCTGCTTAGTCAGTTAGTTGACATAATCTCCGTTATCCAGGTAAGTTGAAGTAAATTGTTATTCATACACTACAGTTATACCACTTTATTGGGAATCTTTGCTTTGGAGTTGAAGAGTTTCACACTGGGACGAAACACTTTGCTTTCTGGTTTTTGTCGGTTCACCAAGAGCACACAGTTCATGAAGAATCATCATCATCATCAATATCAACATACGACCAGCTGTTACTGCGTAACGATCTGAGTTGCCATACCTCATATCAGTACATCAAGTAGAAAGGTAGTGAAGTGAAAGATGAAGATAAAGAAACTTAGTCAAAAGAAATATGAAGTAGGAAAAGAGAGAAAGGAAGAATGAGAAAATGGTGAGGTTCGGCATAACGTCGTTAAGATGAGGATAATATGTGTCAGTATGCATATGCGCCACTGACATCGGTCCTGAACCATGTGATCACCTAGGGTTTCCAACCACTCGTTCCTCTTGTCTGCCAATCCCAACCACCCAGTCTCCGTCGCCCCACATGTTTCAAACCAACTGTCAAACACTTCACACATTGATGCCATGTTTTAGTCTGGCCATCTCGGCCCATTTTCCAGCCTGGATCTACTTCGAACAACATTGTGTGACGAGGCAATCGGTGACTAGGCATACGTAACACATGTCACAACCACCTCAGTCGATGGAGCTTCACAACTTCGTCAACTGATTTACCTCTACTCCCTAAAACTCTACACCTCACTTCTGCATTGCTCATGTGGTGACACCATAGAATACGGCATATACTACGAAGGCAACGGTGATCAAACACTTGAAGCCTTCTCATGTCTTCCACCTTCAATGGCCATGTTTCACAGCCATACAGTATAACAGAGCGGACTGCTGTGCAGGTGCAGGTGCAGTGCACGCAACCCATAACAGGCAGTCAGATATCACGGCAGCGCCATATGTGGTGTTAGTTGACAAAAGCCAGTCATGCTTTTATATTGGTGTAGAGATTCCATCGGTCAGTGAGCCACCACGACTGATCCTACTTACCAGGTAAGTGAAGTGGTCAACACACTCAACCATTACACTCTCTATTGTTAGCCATGGAACCGGTGAAGATGAATCCTGGAGTAACAATATACATTTGAGTGGTGATATACGCATCTCAAACATTCTCAAATCATTGGTCAAAGTGTCCAGAAGACTCTCGATCTTGTCAGTGTCTTCACCTAACAGGACTATGCCATCTGCATATTGTAGGTGTCACAAAAATTCTCCCATGATTAGGTGAACCTGTGTATAATCAGGCGACGAGAGTGAGACCTCCATAAGAATATGTGTGATAAAATTGAATAGGAATGGAGAGAGTGGGCCCTTTTGACGGACACCACTTTACGAGTACAGCTTCCTGGACATATCACCATAGGCTGAAATATGCCCAAAAGTGTTCAAGTAGACAGCCTTCAATAAAGTGATGTTATACTTTTGTCGTGCTACTGATCAAAAGCATTTTGTAATTGCAGAAGGTTTTCAAGGAAGGAAGGAAGCAAGGAAAGGAAGGTACCTGCCAGTAGATTGGAAGAAAAGGCAACTTGTCAAACTCCCAAAGAAGGGAGACCAAAGTCTTTGCAAGAACTTGCAGGGAATCATGCTCCTATCTACCCGAAGCAAACAAACTATCAGGCCGTATCATCCTGGAGAGATTGGAATGAAAATTCTCTTGATTCAACTGGAGTACGACTGCAACACGCTGGCTGGCTGGCTGGCTGGCTGGCTGGCTGGCTGACTGGCTTCAGGAAGAACAAATCATGTGTGGATCAAATTGCAAGGCTACGCTACACATCATCATAGAACAGAGCATTGAATGATATTCAACTCAACTCAACCTCAACTTCATCGACATTGAAGAGGTCTTCAGTAGTGTTGACCGAGAAGTAATTTGTCAGGTAGCTGCTTCAACACTACAGTTTCAGTGCCACAAACCTATATCAGCCTCATTCAACAGGTATGTGCTGTATGATGGTGCTACATGCCGAGTGATTGACAATGGAGAGCTCAGTGACGCCTTTGAAGTGAAG